TGGCAACTGGTGTTGTGTTTGTGCGTGTGTGTATATGTGTGTGTATCTGCCTCTGTAGAGTGAAGATTTGGCTCATACCACTGTGGAAGTCAGACACGTTTAAAATTGGTAGGTTACCTGACAGGCTAGAGGGTCTTGCCATCTAGTCTTGTGTCACAGAATCTGAATGTCAGACCGAAGAGGTCTGGAAAAATGCTTATTTATTGTCCAGAGGCAGCATACATCCTGGGGAACACTCACTCTCTGCTTTTAAGGCCTTCATCTGATTCGCCGAGGCCCACTCATTTGGGGACTATCATTTGCTTTGGGTCACAGGTAGCGCTTTATACCATCCGTTAGGATGGTTATGCTTGACTAGCTACCGGGCATCATAGCCTAGCTGACCATCACCGAGATTGCAGAGAGCATTTGAATTTAAACCGAAAAGTTATCTGGCTCGTAAATCCATTCTCTTGTTTGTTTTTGTTTTTAAGGTCCCCCCCGCTTAGAGTTATTATTAACTGGAAGTTAATACATATATCATATCATTTCATCGTTTAATCATGTCAAGCAGAGTTGCACCATTGCTACCTCAATCAGTTCCCAAATATTCCTTTTCTTCCTGGATTCCTTGACCTTGTCTCTCTTTTACACCCCACCCCACCATCACCACTGTACCGCCCCCTCCTGATTGTTAAATTTTAATCTCCATTATTATGTACCTCAATTGCCACTAAATCACACTCTTGTTTTTATGCTCGACTGCCCCTCGGGGTGGAATATGTTTTAGTTGATCATTGAATTACCGAGGACTGCATTGTAGGTTTTTATTGACATTGGAAGATAAAGTGAAACCATAAAGAACGAATTCTCTGATGATTTTTCCTTGCCGTGGCCATATTTGACAGTGAGATTTGAGTATTTTTAATATCCATGCACGTAGTATTATCGGTCTATCCATGTGGAGGTATAATCTGATACTCTGCTGCGGGGGGCTTTGATCTCAGGTTGTTCATCCTGGTCCTGATTGGCGTCAGCATCGCCTGGGTGCCCATTGTGCAGTCGGCACAAAGTGGACAGCTCTTCGACTACATTCAGTCCATCACCAGTTACTTGGGACCCCCCATCGCAGCCGTTTTCCTGCTTGCTATTTTCTGCAAGAGAGTCAATGAACAAGTAAGTATCATTCAGAATAAAAACAAAAGGATAGCAAGAAGTGGTTTGTCAAAGGAGAAAGGCTTAGGAAGTACTTTTCACACACCCCCAAGGTCAGTAAGTAATATTTTGAATGACTGTGACTGTGGACCAGGCTCTTCTTTTTCCTTACTCATTTTATTCAACCTAGCGTTCACGCTTAGGTACCTGATATGGAGTGAGGCGCAAAGGTGTCGGAAACTTGCTCTGGACAAACTCTCAGTTCAGATAGGGTGGCAGAGAAGTGAATGAGTACTTGCATAGCAGCAAGGTCAGTGCTGCTGCTGCTGGAGGTGTGTCCACAGTGCAACGGCTGCTGTAAGGAAGGTGCACCCATGTAATTCCCTCTGGGAAGGAGGACTGGGACTTTCAAGGTAGACCAGGGTTACCAGGAAGGGAGGCGTCTGGAGTCTCCCAGGTGGAGGGAATGACCTGTTTAGAGACACAGGGACATGAACATACCTGGCATGTTGAAGAGCAGCTGGTACTTTACCATTAAGAAACATTATGAAAAATGAGATACCTTTTGGTCATCCTGTATGGATAGACTTCATCACTGACTTTCTTAAAATATAGTCTTTAAAACTAAGCCTGGTGAGTTCTGTCAGACTTTCAGTGGAGCATACTTTGTGACAAGAACCCTCTCGGTGCAGATGAGCCAAAAATCAATATCAACACAGAATTTATGGTAAAAAATATATTTCACATTTTTTGTTTGTTCAAATACAGAAGGACCTATAAACGAAGGTAAAGAGGAAGTTTTATTTATATTCTTGTGGGAAAGTTCCCTTCCTTTCATTCCCTAAAGACCCAATTTCCTTTTCTATGTCTTCAATATATTAATATAGATTAATTGACTTATACTCAAATACACCTAATCTATAAACTGGTAGCAATGGTGCCTGAAGGCAGAGAGGTTCAAATTATTTTTAAGGTTCAAAGGAAGATTTTTGTCATTGTGAACACCTTGAATTGATAATATATCCCAGTTATTCGACACTGTATTGTTGCTGTTAGCTACCACCTAGTTGACTCTGACTCATGAGCATCTTATAATACAATCCTCAAGGACCGCACTCACTCTCATTGGCCCTCTACTTCACCAACCATGATGGCCTTTTTTACTGATTGGTCCTGCCTGCTGGCATTTCCAAAGCAAAGGAGTAAGACGCTGTTCTGTTTCAACTGAGAACGTCTTAATTGGCTAGTTTATGAAGATGGAATACTAGAACGTTCTTCATATTCTGGAAGTTCCCCTGAAATCTGTCCACTATGGGTGACCATGTGGTATTTGAAATGCATTGACATAGCTTCCACCATCAGAAACTCACTGCCATCCGGTCAATGTTGACTCACAGTGACCCCCTTGTGGGTTTCCAAGACTGTAGCTGTTTATGGGAATAGAAAGCCTACTCTTTTTCCCATGGAGCTGCTGCTGGTTTTGAACTGCCAATCATGCGGATTGCAGCCCAATGGATAACCACTATGCTACCAGGATTCCACCATCATAGCAACATGCAAACCCTCATAGTACAAGAAACTGACAGATGGGTGGTGAATTAGACACTTTGTTCATATTATGAATAATTTTTTATGACACAGATAAAGTCATGTCCTTGAAACATGACAAATACATGCACTGAAGGCCTGGCAGAACATTCTTGATCATATCTGAACGCAAGTCTTCTGGCTTTAGAAGGCCTTGAGACATCATTTCCCTCCGCTTTCTTTCCTCACTTCCGATTCTCAGGACTGACAGAATGTTCAGCTATGCAATGTGTGGCATTAGCTAATCCCGGGTTTTCTTCGACAGGGTGCTTTCTGGGGACTGATACTAGGATTTTTTATTGGAATATCCCGTATGATTGCTGAATTTGCCTACGGAACCGGGAGCTGCATGGAGCCCAGCAACTGCCCCACAATTATCTGTGGTGTGCACTACTTGTACTTTGCCATCATCCTCTTTGTCATTTCGATCATCACCATCATAGTCATATCCCTCTTTACCAAGCCCATCCCAGATGTTCACGTGAGTACCTATTTTGGAGGCCCGTTACTGTTCCATGTTCGTGCTCCAGTGCACATCTTCACTGGGCGTGGGCTGTTTAGACATTTATATCCACATTCTTGAAATAGGCCTGTCTTGTCATGTAGAAGGATACTGGATAGGAAGCACTGCTGTGTCAGACACACATCTTCGGAGGGAATCCTCACATCGGTTCATATTTTAGTCCAGGGGTTCTTATCTGGACCCACTCCCCAAGTGATAGTTCGGGTATAAGGGGTTCTTGGTTCAGAGACTTATGTCCCAAATTAGACCTGGTATTTCTTGTTAACAGTCTCATGGCCGTTAATGTCCAATGGTCTTGACAAGGGACCTGTCTTGTTACAAGGATCACCACACCGAAGGAATTCTGAAGTGTGATATCCCCTTTGCATGTCCCCTCAATCAAGCCACAGAATCCACGACATCTCCACCAATATCAATGTCCAAATGAGTCAAAGTTTCAAACATCGCAAGGACTTTTCTTGGTTATTGTGAGGTGCTGTTGAGTGTGTTCCGACTCGTAGCGACCCTGTGTGCAACAGAACAAAACACTGCCCGGTCCTGCGCCCTCCTCACCATTGCTCTTGTATTTGAGCCCATTGTTCCCACAACTGTGTCAATCCAGCTGGTCCAGGGCTTTCCTCTTTTTGGTTGCCTTTGTGCTGTACAAAGCACAATGTCCTTTTTCATATCCTTTAGCTGTCGATAAACCCCTCGGTTTAAGGTTCATGTATGGCTTTTCCAATCCAATTGCAGCTTACCAATTAGGCACCATATTTATGATAGAAACGTTATCTAATAATCCAACACAGCTGACAGTGTACTTTCTTGGGTTTCCAAGGCATCAGAACTAGAAAGTTCATCTAAACTGGTCTTTTTCTGTAGAAAAAGAGGATGGATTTTGCTAACTTTATAAGTACACACACACACACACACACAGAAATGCAAATATAGGCAACCACAGAATTCCCAAGAAATGTCAAAACCAATTTTCAAGAGCCATCATCAACCGCTCTGCTAAAGAAAGACTGCTTCTATATTCAAATTGTCTCTTGGCCAGATCTGTGGTGGGCTGTCTGCTTCCTCATGTCTCAGTCTTTTAAAGTAGCACAACCCCAAACACATTTAGTTCCATACTTTTGCTTGCAATGGAGAAAGCAAGGTAGTTGCCAGCAGGCATGCTTGGGACACACACGTTGCATAGATTTTTAAATTTCTCTGGATTTTTTGATTCCTGCTCTAGATAGTCAATAGAAATTGTTCCAATTATACCAATTGTTTCAATATGACTCATACTTCTAAAGATTGTTTCCCTCAATGATGGCAAACATAGCATAAACAGCTGATCTTACACCGTTGGTCTGGACAAATAGGTGTCCGGTCTTGTTTCCCAGGACCAGTGTTAAAAGAAACAAATTATTGTTGATTCCAACTATTAGTGACCCTATAAGGCAGAGTAGAATTATCCCTGTGGGTTTCCAAGGCTGTAAGTCCTGATGGGATCAGAAAGTCTCATCTTTCTCCTTGGAAGCTGCTTGTGGATTTGAACCACTGACCGTGCAGTTAGCTCAACGCATAAGCTACTATGCTACTTATTATGATAGAATGTTGCAAATACAATTTTTTCCAGAAGCACAAACAGCAACTCTACCCATGGGCTTTTAAATTTTTTAATAAATAATTTTATTAGGGGTTCTTACAGCTCTTATCACAATCCATACATTGATTGTATCAAGCACATTTGTACATATGTTGCGATAATCATTTCCAAAACATTTTCTTTCTACTTGAGCCTTTGGTATCAGCTCCTCTTTATTCTCCCCTTCCCCCACCTTCATGAACCCTTGATAATTTATAAATTATTTTTATTTTCATAATTTACACCGTCCACTGTCTTCCTTCACCCATGTTTCTGTTGTTCATCCCCTGGCTGGTGTGTGTGGGAGGCAATGTACGTCTATCATTGCAATCAATTCTCCCTTTCTCACCTTTCTTCCCCCACTGCACATGGGCTTTGACATATGGAATACACAGGAATCAAATTGACTACATCTACAGGAAGAGACATTGGAGAAGCTCAATATTAGAAGCCAAAATGAGGCCAAGGAATGACCTTGGAACAGACAATTCATTGTTCCTATATCATTTCAGACTGAGGTTGAAGAAAATTAAAACAAATCCATGAGAGCCAAAATATGTCCTTGATTATATCCTACCAGGATTTTGAGAACATTTCAAGAACAGTTTTGCCATATGGTACATGAATGACAAAAGACTTTACTAGCTGTGGGATGATATAAAGAACATCATACACGAAGAAAGCAAAAGGTCATTCAAAGACAAGAGAGACAGGAAAGATCTAAGTGGGTGTCAGAAGAGACTCTGGAACTTGCTCTTGATCAGAAAGTGGCTAAAGCAAATGGACTAAGTGATGAAGTAAAAGAGCTGAATAGAAATTTTTCAAGCTCTAAAAGACAAATTATTATAATGAAATGTACAAAGACCTGGAGTTAGAAAGCCAAAAAGTAAGACAGTCATATTTGAAGCTGAAAAAACCTGAAGAAAAAAATTTTAAGCCTCAAAATACAATATTGAAAGATTCTATGGGTAAAATATTCAATGATGTAGTAAGCCTAAAAAAGTTGGAAGGAATGCAGAGTCACTGTACCAAAAAGAACTGGTCAACATTCAATCATATCAAGAGGTAGCATGTGATCAAGAATCAATGGTACTGAAGGAAATAGTCAAAGCTGTACTGAAGGCATTCTTGAGAAACAAGCCTCTAGGAATTGATGGAATACCGTGAAATATTTCAATAAAACAACTCACTCACCTATGCCAAGAAGTTTGGAAGGCAGCTACTTGGCCAATTGACTGGAAGAGATCCATATTTGTACATATTACAAAGAGTGGTGACCCAACTGAATGTGAAACTTATCAACCAATATCATTCATATCACATGCAAGTGAAAATTTGCTGAAGATGATTCAACAGGAAAATGCCAGAAATTCAAGCTGTATTCCAAAGAGGGCATGCGAGGAAGCATATTATTGTTGAACCAGATGGATCTTGGCTGAAAACAGACAACAGCAGAAAGATGCTTGCTGATGCTTTATTGACATTGCAAAGGCATTTGACTGTGTGGATCATAACAACCTATGGATAACACTAATGGGAATTCCACAGCACTTCATTGTGTTCATACAGAACCCAGGCACGGAACAAAAAGCAATCATTTGAACAGAGCAAGGTAATACTGTGTGGTTTAAAATCAGGGAAGGTGTGCATCGGGGTTGTGTCCTTTCACCAGACTTCATCTGCATGTTGAGTGAATAATCTGAGAATCTGGACCGCATAAAGTAGAAGGTGGCATCAAAATTGGAAGACGGCTTCGTAACAGCCTCTGCCGTACAGGTGACACAGCCTCGTTGGCTGAAAGCGAGAAGGACTTGAAGCAACCGCTGATGAAGAGCCAGGACTGCAGTCCTTCGTGCAGACTACAGTGTCAAGAAAATTAAAATCCTCACAACTGGAAAAGCGACATCATGATAAATGGAGAAAAGATTAACGTTGTCAGGGTTTTAATGTGGCTTGGATCTACAAACAATATTCGTGGAAGTAACAGTAAAGAAATTAACTGATAAATACATCACTGGGAAAATCTGCACGACTGCTGAGCAAAGAAGACCGCAGAAGAATTGAGGCATTTGGATGATGGTGTCAGCAGAGAACATTAACGCACAGTGGACTGCCTGAAGCAACAAATCTGTCTTGGAAAAAGTACGGGCAGAATTCTACTTCAAACCAAAGATGGCAAGACTTTGTCTCACATACTTTGGGAATGTTATAAGGAGAAACCAGTCCCTGGGGGGGGGGTATCATGTTTGGTAAAATAGAAGGGACATCCACTGCACAAGACCTCTTTAAAGTGTTGAAAAGCAAGGATGTTACTTTGAGGATTAAGGGGTGCCTGACCTCAGTCATGGTATTTTCAATGGCCTCATATACATGTGAGAGTTAGACATTGACTGAGGAAGACCCAAGGAGAATTGTTGCATTTGAATTATGGTGCTGGTGAATAATGTTGAAAGTACCATGGACTGTCAAAGGAACCAACAAGTACAAGCAGAATGCTCCTTAAAGGCAAGGATGGTGAGACTTTGTCTCACATACTTCAGACAGGTTGTCAAGAGAGACCTGTCCCTGGAGAAGGACGTCAAGTTTGGTAGAGGGGCAACAAAGTAGAAGAAGGCCCTTGACAAGATGGATTGACACAGAGCCTGCGATAATGGGCTTAAGCCCAAGAACAATTGTGATGATCGTGCAGGGCGTGACTCGATGGTACTCACAAGGTAAAAGAGGAGGCCCTTGATGAGATGGATTGATGTATTGGCTCCAACACTGAGCTCCCTCATCACAATGCTTGTGAAGGTGGTGCAGGACCAAGTAGTGTTTCTGTTCTGATTTGCATTAGATCACTCTGAGTGGCAACCTAACGGCAATAATAATAAGAGTTCACTTATAAACACAAAATTCCCATTGTTATTGAGCCAGTTCTGACTCATGGGATCACGTCTGTGTTCAAGGCAGTCCCTTAGCCTTTGATTGTACACACATCATAAGGTCTATTGCATTTACATGTTTATACTTAACTTCCCAACGTATTTAGTGATCATGCTGAGGACGGGACTTATTATCTGTGTTACTGCTGAGACTAAGAGGCTACGTACCTTTCCCATTCATAGCACATATCTTTCCTCCAGATTCTTGGTGAGAGACACTATTTGGCTCTTTTGACATCTTACTCTCTCTGCAGCTCCACCGTCTGTGCTGGACTCTCCGAAACAGCAAAGAGGAGCGAATTGATCTAGATGCAGAAGATGAGACCATCTCAGAAGCTCCAGAGGAGACCTTTGAAATCGGTGATTTATGATTCACAGACTATTTCTGAGTTCTACAATCTACAGTCCTAGCAAGGCCACTTTTCCGAGGGAAGTGAGGAAGGGGGTAGGAGTGAAAAAGATGACTGGGTTTGGGGACGTCTGGAGGACAGTGCAGAATCACCCTACATACCCCCCTTCTCATTTCAGAGTGCTCAGTGAGTGCTCGAGGAACACGGCATCCTGCCTGGATTTGGGGCAGGGCCAGAGATGAGGGGAGAGTCGGAGCTCTTCTGACATAGCCTGCAGTCTTTAAAATAGTTCACATCTCATAACGCTATTAGAAACATTGACTGAGAGGACATTTTTTACGATAAGAATGTTTTATTACCACAATCCTTGTTATTAAGAAAGAGTTTTATAATTGAGGTGGTTTGAAAGGGAATGAGTAGTACTGCATGTGTCAGGAATGCTATTGAGGGGACTCGCATGCTGCATAGAGAATCAACTTGATGACTTACGAGGTTCGTGACAGCACTAGACATCTTTTTAATTTTTTTCGATCATTTTATTGGGGGCTCTTACAGCTCTTGTAACATTCCATACATCAATTGTATCAAGCATATTTGTACATATGTTGGCATCATCATTTTCTAAACATTTACTTTCTATTTGAGTATCAGTTGGTATCAGTTCTTTTCCCCAGCCCATGATCTCTTGATAAATTATTATTATTTTTATATCTTACACCACTGTCTCCCTTCACCCATGTTTCTGTTGTGCATCCCCCTTGGTGGGGGTGGGGCTGTGCATCGATCTTTGCAATTGGTTTCCCCTTCCTCTCTTCCTCCCCTCAGCTTTCCCCTCCCCTCCTGTTATCGCTACTCCCATTTCTGTTCCTGAGGGGTTTATCTAACCTGGATTGCATGTGTCATGAGCTCTTAGCTGTACCAGTATAGAGGTTCCAGTCTAGCCAGAACTAAAAGGCAGGACTGAGGTCATGATAGTGAGGGGTGAGGAAACCTCAAAGAACCAGAGGAATACTGTGTTTATCATCGGTGCTATACTGCACCCTGGTTGACTCATCTCTTCCTTGTGACCCTCCCGTGAGGGGATGTCCTATTGTCTACAGATGGGTTTTGGGTCTCTGCTCTGACCTACTTCATTCTCAATAATGTGTTTTTGTTGTTGTTGTTTGTTTGTTTTGGGTCTTCTGATGCCTGTTATCTGATTCTATTGACACCTCATGATCACACAGGTTGGTGTGCTTCTTCCATGTGGGCTTGTTGCTTCTCTGTTAAATGGCCACTTGTTTAACTTCAAGCCTTTAAGACCCCAGGTGCTGTAGCTTTAATAGCCGGGAACCATCAGCTTTCTTTACCACATTTGCTTCTGCACCCATTTTGTCTTTAGAGATCATATTGGGAGGGTGAGCATCACAGACTGTGAGGTTGTTAGAGCAAAGTGTTCTTGAGTTGAGGGAGGGCTTGAGCAGAGACCCAAAGTCTGTCCACTTCCCCCGTGTATTGCCATATAAATATATGTACATAGGCCAATACCTCTATTTTTATGAATTAATATATTTACATAAGTTCACACCTATGTTTATACTTATATCCATAGCTTTGCTTCCTAAACCTTTCCTCTGTTTCCTTTTACCTTCCTCCTGCCCCACCATCAGACTTGCCCATCTTCTGCCTCTTAGTAATTCCTCTCAGCTAGATTGCTGTTGCTCCAACACCCCCAGGATGTCTTCCTCATTGTTGCTTTTAATTCCCTAGTTGTTCCCCTATGGTGTTGTTTGCTCCCTGCTCCTTCCCCCCCCCCCTCCTCCCACTGAGTCCCTCTGGAAATGTCTACCCCACTTTCCCTTCACTCTCCCAGTATCGCCACTTTCACCACTGGTCCTGAAGGGATCATCCGCCTTGGATTCCCTGTGTTCCCATTTCTTATCTGTACTGGTGTACATCCTCTGGTCTAGCCAGATTTGTAAGGTAGAATTGGGATCATGCTAGTGGGTAGGGAAGAAGCATGTAAGAACCAGAGGAAAGTTCAACATACATTTCATTTTAAAAAAATTCATTCTTTAAGACTGAAAAGTCAGCTTCGGTTAAATGATCATTAGAATGTAGGACTCACCTACTAACATTCCTTGTGATTAATCGTCTTTGACAATTTCATACAATTTCCATGTTTACAAACAAGAGCACGGGGGGAGTTTCTGCTGGTGCTCAATGTATTGGTCTTCTTTGGAAAACTTTGCCTGCCACTGTGTCCAATAACACTTTTATCCCTTTTTTTCTGACACAGAGGTCCCCGAGGAGAGCAAAGGATGCTGCAGGAAGTTCTATGACCTGTTCTGTGGGCTGGACCAACAGAAGGGCCCTAAAATGACCAAGGAAGAAGAGGCAGCAATGAAGGAGAAAATGATGGACACGTCTGAGAAGCCTTTGTGGCGGACAATCGTGAATATCAATGGTGTCATCCTCCTGACTGTTGCCGTCTTCTGCCATGCCTATTTTGCCTGAGTCCTACTATTTACTCTAGACCGCGCTCACAAAGGACAGATTTCTACGGGGCCTCCCTGTAATGCCATGCTGTGATGTGGAAGAAAAGTCAGCCAGTTGTAAATTTTGCTGCGATAGTCAAATATATACATGTGTAATACGAGGCTAGATGGATGAAAATGTGTGCATGTGTAATAAGAGGCTAGACACAGATGAAAATCATTGTTAGATTATGTGTTTGCAGTTAATATGATGTATTCCAGAGTTCACCCTAGAGCTGCAAGAGGAAAGCCTACTCAGTAATATCTAAAAAGGACAAACTAAGAAACAGAAGGTCTACAATGTTGGATGCATATTTGTCTCACGTAGATTCAGTGCACCTACACAAGAAATTATTTTGAGTGGCCACCTACCCTCATTTTCTCCAAAAACAACCATTTTTTTCTACATCATCTCTCTGTCAGGGTTTTCCTGGCACACGAATAACCAATCTTATAAATGTATTGAAGCTGAGGATGGGAGCTTGATAAGGTCCCTATGCTGGTATGTGATCTCTGAAAGAAGGCCTGGGGGAAGTCATACCACTTCCTCTAAAGGGAGCGACGTCAGGCAATTTTCTGATCTTAAAAATTATCCACGGCGAGTTCCCATGTTTGGGATCCCACTAATTTTGGCATTCATTTTGACTGCAATGTCTTAGCCACTCGGCAATGTTTGTAGACTGACTGAATGACATGGATATTTATTTATAAATGCGTGCTATATTTTTATAAAAGCCTGGCCCTTGGTTAACATTTTTCTGTGGCTCTCCAAAATGTAGCCTCTGGAAACTGTAATGAATTGGAGTGTATTCATTTGAGACCACCTTTCCTCATAGGATTATTCTTTCCTCTTGGCCTTAGAATGACTCCTGGGGATAGACTAGTGGAAGCAAATATGTCTCTCAGGGACATGTTTGGTGTCCTTCTATTGAAACCATGAAATCCTTTGCCTTCCTGTGAGTTCATGTGACCACAGTCCTTCCTGTTAAGGTGCTTTGATTGGTGATTGTAAATCGATCCAGGAAGCCTCTATTCCAGGCAATAGTCCTCAAACTCCTAGCTGTGAAGACTAGATCTCTTGAACCTGTCCCTAAGGAGCAAAGTCTTTGAATCCACTGTGAAATGTCAATGATGCTTACAATACAATTGCTTGAAGTTAAGAAAAGGACACTGATTGATAAAAGAAATGGCGCCTGAAATTCTGCAGAGCTTTGAGTGGTTCCTGAATCTTAAAGCGGTCCAGCGAGTAAAAGGATGATTGGTTCTTATGACAGGAAGCAAATCCAGAGCGCTTGAGCTGATGTGCCATCACCGTCCCCCAAATGTGACCTCATAAGCACAGCCGAGGGTCAGGGGAGGATCCCACTTGGCTGGCATTACCCACAGTGCCCAGTCTTGTTCACGGTGTGTTTTGTGTTTTGACGATAATAGGGAAAGGCTAAAAAAACTGGTGGATAAAGGGAATGGCAAAAATGTGTCCACATTGTCCCTGGTTCTGTTTCGGGATTTGTCACCGATTCACTGTTATAGTATGTGAAATTACTTTATCTTAATTGTGCATTTTTCCTCTGAAAAATGAAGACCTTGATGCTTGTAGCATCTACCTACCTCCTTGGGTGTGACGCGGTCACTTGGAAGAGGGAGTGGGAGATCCATACCTGAAAGATCTTATGCAGATGCGATGTTAAATGGCAATGTCACTTCCTAATGAAATGCGTCACTCTGACAGCAATAAAAGCCCGACAAATCTTGTTCTACACAGACTCTAGACAAACGTGGAACACACACAGGATATGGATCAGGAAGAAAGCGATCGGAATAGTTGAGAAGAGAAGCTAATAACTTGGATATTATTGTAAAAAGGTAGCCAAGTTTGGAGATCATTGAAAAGGAAAAACCTCTAGAAAATGTGAGGCAAGTAGCTACTTACCCTTGATTACGGGTCAAAAGGTTGGCGGTTCAAAACCTTGGAAGACAGGCCTGGTGATTACTTCCGAAAGGCCACAGACCTGCAAACCTTATGGAGCAGCTCTGCTTTGCACATATGGGGTCGCTATAAGTTGGAATTAACTTGACAGCCATTAGCCACCATCGTACCGGAAACACAGTAATGTTCCACTAGAACAGACTGACACGTGGGTCACCAGGAAGCAGTAAGAGCTAAATTGTATTATAATAACTTCAGGCTTCAAGGAAGAGCTAGTTTCCGCTTTGAAACTAGGTACACATTGTGCACAGGGCAACCCCCATTCGCTGTCGAATTGATTCAGACTCATGGCAAACCCAGAGGTGTTAGAGGAGAATTGTGTCCATAGAGTTTTCAATGGCTGATTTTTCAGAAGTAGATTCCCAGGACTTTCAAGGAAAACTTGAGGGGACTTGAACCATCAACCAATAAGCTGACAGTTGAGTGCATTAACCACTTGCACCTCTGAGGGACTCCTACAAGAGGCAAAAAAAAGATTGGTTATTAATGCTCAGTTTACAGAACTTAAAAATGATGCCATATCAGGGGGGAGACACGCTTCTTTAAATATGGATGACTAAAAAAAAATATGGATGACTATTTTTAAAGGGTTCCCTCAAAAGGAAAAGGTGACCTTCTTCCCTACAGAGTGAAGTTGGTCCTGAGGTCTTTAACTTACCTACTTGCATTGCTTTCATCTGTATAGATGAATCAAGTGTTCATTAATTGTTTTTTTTAACCTTTGGAACTCACGAGAAACCCCTTGTCACCTGAGGGGCAGATAGTTTACTCTGGAACATCGAAGCCAATGCACTCACTCCAGTCGGGGGAAGTCCGAGAAGGGATACCAGCGAGGAGGCAAAACTCTCTGTGATGTCTTGTTTGACATCGGAATATACACAAATATAGTCCATTGGCTTTGGGATTTACACTTTGGGCAGCCACGTGTGGATTTCTACATTAATTCAAGTTTCATGGTAACCACAGGAAACGACTGTTGACCATCAGAGAGCAAACAGAACAGTAAGGTTCTCTAAGTCTGAGGCCAGTTTCAGGATGTCGTTGTTGACTAACTGCATAGCAGGGCCTACCGTTCAATCCCCAACAGTCAAGTAAATAAGAGAAGACTCTCAGCGTTATTTGACTCTTTTAGATGACAAGCACATCTACCCTGTCTGCTTTTGAGCAATGTAGCAAGTTATCAAAATTCCATAGAGACGGCATGACGTACTGGGGAACTTTTATAACGCTATAAATCAATAACTTGGGGGCACACTTTCTTTCCTAGTGCCGAGCCATCATCTCCTAGAAGAGGTACTTCAGCTCAAGTTCTCCGGTCCTGTTTCCCCACAGCAAACGTTGGTTTGATAAAAAAACAAAAAAAAACACAAAAAACATGCTGTGTTAGACAGGGTTCTCTAGAGAGACAAAACCAGATTGCTAATCATTATATACATATTTATTTATATAGAAAGATAGATATATAATACAAGAAATAAACAATTAAATTATAAAGCAGTTATACAGATAAATAGATATACAGCACCAGGAATAAACAGTTAAATTATAAAGCAGTTATACAGATAAATAGATATACAGCACCAGGAATAAACAGTTAAATTATAAAGCAGTTATACAGATAGATATATAACACAAGAAATAAACAATTAAATTATAAAACAATAAAATGGCTCAGTATAATTCAAATGTGTTGGAGAGCTGTGAGACACTGGCAGTCCTTTGAGTCTTGAGTGCCGCCAGGTAGTCCTCTGTAGAGAGAGTCAAGCTATCGCAGCACAGGAAGGTCACCAACAGTCAGCCAGGTCACCAACAGTCAGTCCCCAGCTCAAGAGATGTAAATTCCAATTGTGTGGTGAAGCAAGTCTTAAAGGGACCTCAAATTACAGAGACAGTCCACAAGTTAGGCGTCCCACAGGTAGTGTAGCTTGTAAATTGAGGCACAGAACAAGCAAGGCAGCCACACACTGGTCCGATGATCAAAGATGATCAAAGATGATCAAAGAGCGAGAGACAAGAAAGGCGAGCCATTCATCTCTCCGCCCTTCAGTTAATCTCACAAGTATCTATCGGCCAGGCTGGCACAATAAACTATCTCACATGCATTCTTGGTGCAGGGAAGGATGTTTCTTAACATTGCTCCCCCAAGCAAGCCACTCTACTTTCCAAATTGTGTTTGGATGGATGAAATTGTTTGAATGAGGTACCACTCCAAAAAGATTTGTGCAGTGGTAGAGACAAGATTGGGAGGTATAGGGGAAGTTAATGGTGCCAATATTGTTTGATTGGTTCCAAAGGACTCAGATTAGTGTAGTTCAGTTTCAGGGTCCCATATTGCATGTCTAGTTTAAGAGTAGCTCAAAGAACAGGTGATTTGATACAATTAATTCCATGCTTACAATGCTGAGAGAAAAATATCATAAAGGGAGTGTCTTTGTCAGTATATACACCTTGGTTTCAGAATCCTATCACACTTGGTTCTGAAAATATTGGCTGCAAAAAATCCCCTGAAGGGCGTGGTACATCATAGGTCATTGGAATTAATCCCCCAGTTTCTGATTCTCGATTTGGAGTGGGGTCTGAGGATTTGCATTTTTAACAAGTTCCAAGATGACTTTGATACTGCTACTCCAGGGACAGTCCACCTTGAAAATCGCTAATCTAGAGTTAATTTCTAAGGGGCCTTATTTTATCACCAAAGCAAGCAGAACAGGATACAGCTCTTTTCCATGACCTGTGCTCAGAACCTTAGTGATAGCTCAAGACCAAAAGGCTTTTTTGAAAACAGAACTTCATAGGCATAGGTGAGGCATACTGAAATGCCAAATGTAATAGATTGAATCATAACACCCCTCTCCTTGCCAATGTATGTTGAATTCCTGACCCTTGTACTGTGATATGATCCTGTTTGGCAATGGGATTTGGAAATAAGATTTTTTTCCTTATTAATGATAATGGTACAAAAGGGCCAGGATAATCCCAGAGAGACACACATGCAGAAGCCACCATATATCCTAGCAGATGCCAGTACAAGCCCAGGAACACCATTACTGGCGAGTAGAAGAGAAAATAAACAAAGAAGGATCTCCCCACAGAGCCACACCCTGAATTTGTTTTCCAGTCTCCTGAACTGGCAGAAAATATTTTTCTCTTCTTCAAAGCTGCCCAAGAGTGGTGTTTGTGTTACAGCATCCCTAGGTAACTAAGACATCAAACCAAAAAAACTAAACTCACTGCAAGTGAGCTGATTCTGACTTATAGTGACCCCGTAGGACAGGGTAGAGCTGCCCCTGTGGGTTCATGACACTGTCCATCTTGACAGGAGTAGAAAGCCCTGTCTTTCTCCTGAGGAGGGCCCGTGGTTTCAAACTGATGGCCTGACAAGCAACAGCGCAATGCATAACCACTACATGACCAGGGCTCCCACTAATACATCAAGGTACAGAAAATTCTGTCTTATTGATCTTTAGGGCCCATGTGCTTAAATTTCTAAGTCAGTCTCAGAGCAGGACTCTACAGGGGTGGAATATGTTAAAGAGAGGGGACCACTAATATCTATTTAGCATATTCTATGGGACAGGTATGCTACATAAATCTTAAATAGCATCACCTAAACTTTTCAAGCACAACCTGCCTATTGGCTTGTCATACTGCGGTGGTTTGTATGTTGCTATGGTGCTGGAAGCTATTCCAAATACCAGCAGAGGCAGGCATTTGTGAATAGGCTTCAGGGGAGCTTCTAGACTAAGGAAGTCTAGGAAGAAAGTTCTGGCAATCAACTTCCTCAAATTAACCAATAAAAGCCTTATTGGTCACAGCAGAATATTGCTCAGTATTGTGTTGAAAAATGAGCCCTTTAGGTTTAAACGTCCCGCTTTTTAACAATTTTTCCCGCAGCCCGCAGCATTTAAAAAAAGTCCTGATTTTTGGAAAGAATGCACGACAAGCTAGAGTATATGGTTTTCAGCTGCCATGTGGCTATTTCACCAGGATATGAGTTTTATCAATGGTGTCCAGCTTTACTATTGTTAAAATCTGGTCACCTTAGTTTAAAGGCAACACACAGTACTTGTAACAATGAACTAAACCATAATGTTTCTTTCTGTTGTACATAGGCTGGTACGAGATGGAGCTGAGTTGATCGCAACTAAAAAAATTAGCAAAAATATTTTTAATAGGTCTGTGGTCTAAAGTACACTTAAAAACACTGAAGGTCAAAGAGATTCCGTGACTGACTCAAAAGTAATTCTAGAATGTCCCTGCTGCAGAATTTCTAAGAGCAGACTTATAATACTGACTCTTCAATTCTGAGTATCTTAGAAAGATAGTGGGCTTTGGATAACTGAGGAGGCTTATAATGTGTCAGTATATAAGAGCAATATTTAAATCTGGGTGCCAAGCATTCCTACATTGTTTTCAGATGAGTAATGAAGGTTCAGTAGGTTAATTAACTGCCTGTTCAAGGGGGTCTGTCTCCAGAGTCTTCCTCCTAGGTGAGTGCTTCCTCCTGATCAAATAGTGGTAGAAATCTGTTTTCACTGTCAAAGCAGCTTCTACTCTTCCACAAGGGCTCTTCTAAGACTCCAATATGTGGCTAATGATCATTTTTGGCTCCACGTTACTTCCAGGATGAGGGAAGATAGAACTTCAATGACCTTTGTATCCCTATACAATGTTCAAAGACCAAATTCAGATGAGCCAAAAATGCAAATTAGAATTCTCTTGCTTTGCTTCTATTTCATCATAGACAATAGTCCAGGAGGGAAAATGAAAAA